AGTTATTGGCCGAATTGACTTTAATTGGCAAGACATGTGTGAATGTTTTCTAGGTATTAGACCATTTGCAGATAGACTAAGTGGGCAGCAACTACTTATAAGTTGGTTGGAAGAAAACTTTAATCACCTACCTGATAATGCGAATGATGTACAAGTTCAACAATTCACTCGTGCATATATCCTCAGGTGATTGGTGGATATCTCATGCCAGATAGATCGGGTAGCACGATGTATCTAATGTACCTTCCACTACTTTATGATTTTCAAGAAGCTAGAAAATATAGTTGGGAATCAGCAGTTTTAGCTCACTTATACAGAGAATTGTGTAATGCTACTAACCCAACTAGGGATAGGATTGGAGGATGCTTATCATTACTTCATTTAAGGGCATGAGATCATTTTCCTATGCTAGCACCACAACAACCTAGGTATCCAGATCCACAATTTGACATCTACGTACCCTCTCTTATCTCTTTTGGGTTTTAGGTATGCTAAATTTATTCACCAACTATTTGTTATGCTCTTATATTATTAAAATTATATAATTTTTAACATTACTTTTTTGTAATAACAGATAGAAAAATGTGAGACAAAACCCACGTCCACTTGCTACGTCTTTAATCTGATATAGGAGCTTTCTGGATAAAATGACTGATGATGAGATAATATGGCAGCCATATGAATCTCCTTATGTGTGCCAATTGATTCCTAAGTATTGCTTGGCAACACCCAAAATTTGGTGTGCTTCAGTTCCTTAAATATGTTTTAATATTATAGAATGAGATCATCCTGACCATGTACTATAGCAATTTGGTCATCAGCAACCAATTCCTTCCATGCCTGTTCATTTGAGAAATTACCACACGATCCAATTACGAGGTAGAACAACTACAAATTGGATTAACAAATACACAAACTTCATTCAAGCATGGGATAGCTGGCCACATGTAATTGTTAATGCTCTTATAGCATTTAATGAACTTGATCGAACATCTTAGTACATGCAATGATATTGGAGACATACAAGACGATGGATTCAACGTATCAATGGCGATACAGGTCGTGCGGCAGGTTTTTCATCTTTTCACCATTAATATCATTTTCTTTTACACAAAAAGTGTTAATATCTTATATCTTATTATTTTTTTCAGTTTGACATAGCAGAGGAGCTATACAGGCTTTCAATTAATTCTCATTCAACATGCCCTAGTTGTATTGATTATCGAGATAGGGTTGCTCGCGACCAACGTAACATTTTACTTGCACTTAGAGAACAACGTTTTAATGTGAACCCTCAGCCTGCTCCACCAATAATTGAGTTGCCTCAGCCATAAATTCCTCATTATAGGCCAAGCAAGCGACGCGATGGTTATTGTGTGCCCAACCTATAATTGAAAACGAAAATGCAAGGGAAAAGGAACCTCTAATTTTTACTCAAGCTTTTGACATATCACCGTCACCATCATCCCCCTTCATCTCTGTCGATCCTACACAACTTGAGTCTCATTACATGGCACTCTCGTCATCATCCCCTTCCAACTCAGCCAATCCTTCTCAATTTCAACCATTCATGACTTTATTAGATAATCCTGTATTATTTTCAGGTAAATACAATGCTTCTACTTCTGAATATGGTGGACCATCAAATGAAGCATTTGTCACTCCTTGACAATATATACATTTAAATGAATCACCTTGGTTTGATTTGAACACGCCAACTATACAAAAAAATGAGACATTTGAATCTCAAGAAATTGACATACAACAACAACGCCCACAACATATGAGAAGAAGGCCAAGATGTGGTACTGGAAGTCACTATCAGTAAGGTGGATAATTTTTTCTTTATAAACTTAAACTTTATTTATTACTTTTTATTTTTAATCTTATACTTATTTCACAATTAGTTTTAACATCATTATAACATTTTTCTCTCATTATTTAGTCATGATTTTGTCATTCAAATGATTGATAAATCATTATACTAATCATTTTAATCAGGAGAGAAGGGGGGAAGTCATTCAACAGCAGATGAAGTTTTGAAGTTGTTCACCAGAAGAACGATTTTCATTCACCTTATACACATCAAGGACAGATTATGAAGAAGTCGTTTACCAGATAAATGACTTTAAAAATTATTCACTTGAAGACTAATTTTAAGTGTAATATATTAGTAAATACTTTTAAAAGTACAGCATATTGATATATAATTTTACTACTTATAGTATTTTGGTAATAAAAAAAAAAAGGTTGTCGTGTGGCATTTGTTCGGTTTGACAAGAAATCAAGTATTAGGCATGGGCCTTTTATGCCTGTGACCAAAATAATAATAATAATAATTTAGTCTTACAACTTAATTGCTACAATTAAAAATTTACAATTAAAACATAATTTTTTTTGTTACGCATTGTTTGGTATGAAAAAGATAAAAAGAAGAGGAAATGATTGAAAATTTCATCAAGCTCTATTTGGAAAAAAAATTAAAAAAACTGGGGGTTTCGAATTTTAATCCAATATAAGTCAGGTGAAGTAATATTTACTATATATGTTGTAGCCTCACAGGAGCATCATCGGGGATTCTTATTGTTGCATGCAGGGTAGAAAGTGCAATCATTCTTGGCGTGAACGATTTCACCTTTTGATTTTAAAATAAAATCAAAAGTGAAATCGTTCATGCCAAGAACAACTTGTATGTAATTTGAAAGTCATTCTTACCAAGAACGATTTTAAGTGCAGCATATTGGTAAATAGTTTAAAAAATATAGCATTTTTGTATATAGTTTTACTATTTATTGTATTTTGGTAAAAAAGCCGGATGATCACACTTGGGTACTAAGGGAAAAAAGTAGGCCTTTCCTGACTAAATTGGGTCATACACACATCTTCAAGCCTTTAAACACGTAAAGCCTGTTTGGTTGGATTACAAAAAAGAAGATTACATATAATCTTAACGCAAATGGCTAATTCATATGTTCGGTTCGACCTATGTAATGTAAAGAAGATTACATTTTGTAATCCCTATTGCCTTAAATGGCTGCATCCAGATTACATAGTTATACCTTATGAATGAGGATTACAACATGATAAAATTACACTATTGTCCTTAAAATAAAGTAAAAAACTCTCAACCCTTCTTCCTCCCTACCCATCCACCACTCACCAACAAATTTGCTCCATAGCCACCGACAGTCAGCAACAGCCATCAATCTCCCTGTATGCTTCACCTTCGCATTGTTGTCGCCACCATCAAACGTCTCCACACTCATTTGAACTCCCTCTAATCATCAGCATCATCTCCAAAATTTCAGTTACTTCGCATATTTGCCTCCCCCATCGATTTCCCTACTTAGCAACGGCCTCTACCTCCTTTACCTTTATAATTTCACTTTTTGTATATGAATCCAAGTATGTCTTGTTAATTTGAATCCTAATTCATTTTTGGAATTTTAATACCTCCTCCACCTAATGATTTCACAATTCTTTTTTTTTTGGTAAACAAATTTGTTTTTTTTTTTCTTGAAGGATTATTTTTTTGGAAATTTATTATGGTTACTGATGTGGAGGGAGGAGGAGGAAGAAGGCATTGGATTGGAAGGCGAAAATAAGAAAAAAAAGATGAGGATATTTCAGTCTTTTTTATTTTTATGATTATTAAATTTAATATAAAAATTATTATTCTTTTTAATATTACCAAGTTGAACCAAACAAATTCATTGTAATGTTCTTTGCATTACATTACATTCCTTGTTATTACATTACATTCCATTACTTATGACTCGGTGAACCAAACAGCTCCTAAGTTTAAGTAAAGTTCGCATGAGTAGAATTTTTTTTTCATATTTTTATTAAATCCATATATTCATGTATTTTCACATTTTAATATTTTGATATAGTTGAGATATTGAAGAATAAGTACTACTTTAAAAAGAAAACGTTTTAACTCATCCATGTATCCATGAAAAAGATACACCTTCAATCCTAAATATAAGATCTTTATATTAGTACGTATAGAGATATGTATAAGGGTCATATATTTAGAACCGGAAGAGTATACTACCTATGATTTTTAATATAAGATTTAGACAAAATAGATCTTATAACTAGTTTATATTATAAGCGTATATTAAGGGCCGGAAGAAGTGCATATATGACCTTGTTTTTGGTATGTCAATCTGATAACTCAAATTAGAACAATCTGACTCAAATAGGGAGACCTATCAATTCCAACCCACCCCACCGACCTATTAATTCCAACCCACCGACCTATTAATTCTAACCCACCTAGCGCGTTGACGATATGTTGTTTACCTTCAGAGGTAAACATTGTGATTATACAGAATGTAGAAGTTTCTATATATTCTGTGCTGCAGCAATCCATTTCTTATTTGCAAGAAAATAATAACGATGCACCCTCCTCCACCTTTTCCGTTTGGCGGGACTAAAAAAGAAGCACTCACGCTATCTTCCTCCGCTTAAATAATCCACTCTGACAACCCTTTCCAAATTCCAACTTTCGGGGAAATTTGTTAATGGAGAATCAAACGCGGTGTTGTGCTTTTTGCTGCTTCACCAGTTTTGTATAAATTTCTCTGCCTCGTTAAAGTATTATTCAAATCCCAATCCCTTGCCAGCATCCACAGGTTATTGCAGCCATGGCTATTCAAGTTTCATCCCATAGCTTCATCGGCAAACCCAAATACAGATTTGATGTTTTTTTTGAGTTTTAGAGGCGAAGATACTCGCCACCCCTTTGCTGTGCCTCTCTACAATGCTTTGCGACGTAAGGGAATCAATGTTTTCATTGACGACAAGAAGCTTGGCAAAGGGGAAAAGATTTCACCCACGCTTCTTAAAGCCATTGAGAGATCGAGGATTTGCATTATTGTATTCTCCAGCAACTACGCTGCTTCTACATGGTGCTTGGATGAACTTGCTCATATAATTCGATGTAAGAATAGAAGAACCAGGTGGTTATGCCCATCTTTTACAAGGTGGACCCAATGGCTCTTCAGTATCAGAGAGACAGCTTTGCAACAGCCATGGCTGCTCATGAAGACATATTCAGAGGTGATCCAGAGAAAGTGCAGAAATGGAAATCTGCTTTGTCTGAAGCAGCTTCTCTGTCGACGGCCTGGATTTTTGAAGACAGGTACGTCTGATTACGGAAAAAAAAGACACAAAAGTTGATATTTAAACTTGAAAATACTAAAATAATCATTTGAATTTGTAAAATCCTAATTTAGTCACAGATAACCAATTTGACATTTATAAATTTGCTCAAATAACCATATTGTTCTTCATTTTATTTATTATTTTTTAAAAAATCAAAGCCCCACTGCCCCCAGTCACTTGAGCTCCAGTGCCGGCAGCGGCAGCTGTTACTGGAGCTCTAACAACTGGAAACAATTTTTTTGAAAATTTTTATAATTTCAATATAACAGTTAGCAACTTTTGTAACGCTATTAATAATTTCAATATAACAGCTGATAACATATTTTCTAGAAAATTTAAAAAGTAGCATTTTTACAATTTCAATAAAGTCGTTATAAATTCCGCAACTCTATTAACAACTTCAGTATAGCATTTAACAACAGATTTTCTTAAAAATTCAAACCGTGTTATTTTTACAATTTTAGCAACTACTTTTTTTCAAAAATTTTTACAATTTTAGTATAACAGTCAACAACTTTTATAACATTATTAACAACTTTAGTATAATGGTTAACAATAAGTTTTCCAGAAAACCAAAAAGTAGTATTTTTACAACTTTAGTAATATCGTTAACAAATTTAAAAATCTGTTGTTAAGTGTTATATTGAAGTTGTTAATAGTGTTACAAAAGTTGTTAACCGTTATATTGAAATTTTAAAAAAATTTCGCAAAAAAAAAAGTTGCCAAAGTTGTAAAAACACTCCTTTTTTTAAAATTTTTTTAAGAAAACCTGTTTTAAATGCTATACTGAAATTATTAATACAGTTATGAAATTTGTTAATGGCATTACTAAAATTGCAAAAATGTTACTTTTTGAATTTTTCAGGAAACCAGGTGTTAACTGCTATATTAAAGTTGTTAATAGTATTACAAAAGTTATTAATCGTTATAATAAAGCTTTAAAAAAATTTAAAAAAATTGTCTCCAATTGTCGCCCGATCGCCAGAGCTCCGGTGATGGCCGCAGCCGACGGCACCGGAGCTCCGGCCACCCATTGGCTAGTGCTTTGGTTTTTTGAAAAATAATAAATAAAATAAAAAGTAATATAATCATTTCAGCAAATTTATAAACATCAAATTGGTTATTGTGACTAAATTGAGATTTTACAAATTCAAATGACTATTTTGACATTTTTAAATTTAAGTATCATTTTTTGTGTCATTTTCTCTTTAATTATTCTATTTTCAAATTGCTGGTAACGAACTTTTTGAATTCTTTATTATTTTATTGTTTACTCGTGACATGACATGACAAACTACTGTTGATGATGTTTGGAATTTTGACCCGTGCCCGTTGCTCCTCTAGATTCCTCTAGAATTTGTTTTCTTATTTTAAAAACAGTTTTTTGTTTTTTTAAAAAACACTTCTTTGATAATATGTTTTTATTTAAGTGTTTTTAAAAACAAAAAAATAATTTTTAGTTGTTTTTTTGTTTATGTTTTTGTGTTTCTTATATTTTATCTGACAAAATTAGGAAACCCTTTTTTCTCCCTCGATGTTTTTTTGTTTTCCATTTGAGAACTTGAGTTCATATCAAAGTTTTACCCTCCGATTTCAATACTTTTATTTTCTAATGTCATTGTTTGGAACAATTGTCCAAACAATTTTGGTTTGTTTTTTGTTTTCGAAACTTAATTTAGAAAACAATTTTTAAAATTTTCTGAGAAACAAAGTTAAAAACATGAACAAACAGGCCTTTAAATTTTCCTTGAGTATTTTTTTAAAATACATTGTTGATAGGGTTTTCAACTGTAAACTGTGGAAGTGGGATCATAAAATCTTGATAAAAAAATGTAAGATAAAAGAAAAAGAGTAATAAAAATTAATTAAAAATTTTAATCCCACTTCATCAATTTTTTAAATCGAACTCGCTAAAATTTTTTCTCCCCTTCATTTTTCTTATACCAAATAGATTCTTAGTGTCTTTATTTTTTATATGTATACGCACACTATATGTGACTACAAAGTCCATTATTAGAATTATGAACAAATTCAAAATGTTTCCTTATATATTATATGGAATCTAAAGAATGAATGTATGGCTTGATGTAGATTTTATATTTTTGACCTCGAATTTTTATTTAATATTAATATTTAAAAATTTTAATTTTTTTCTAATTTTATTCTTTGAGATTTATTTTTCTTTACGCTTAATTCTCTTTTATTTATACAGTGAAGCGATAACAAATTGGAGAGAGCTAATTGATTTTGAGATCATTCATATTTTATAAATCAAAATAAGAATGCATATAAAAATATATGACAAAAAAACAAAAGAAAAGAATGACACACTTTTATATGGATGAATCATCTTTGTAATACAAGACAATTTGCTCTTTTGTAGGAACGAATTTGAGTTTATGGAAAGGATTGTTAAAGATGCATATGCTATGTTGCCACCTAAACAATTACATCACATCGGGTACATGGTTGGACTTGAGCCTCGTGTGGAAGAAGTGATTTCACTTTTAAATCAATCCAATGATAGAGTTTGCATGTTGGGCATTCATGGAATTGTAGGAATTGGCAAAACAACCCTTGTAAAATCGGTCTATAATTCAATGTTTTACCAATTTGAAGGTGCATGTTTTTTGTTTGATGTCAAAGAAAGCACCAAAGAAATACCAGGGCATCGTTCGCCTCCAACAGAAACTTCTATCAGAGATTCTTGGGGAGAAAATTATGGTGATTGGGAGTGTTGATAAAGGAATGTCAAGAATAAAACATCGGTTTTGTCATAAAAAGGTTCTTTTGGTTCTTGATGATGTTGACGAGGCTGAACAGTTAGAACAACTTGCGGGAGGGTGTGACTGGTTTGGTTTTGGAAGCAAAGTTATTATAACAAGAAATAAGCAAATGCTAGTTGCACACAATGTTGAAAAAACATATGAAATGATGAAGCTGAATCAGTATGACTCTTGTGAGCTCTTTTGTTGGCATGCCTTCCATGAGAACCAACCTCCAATAGCCTATCAAGATATGTCTAGTCGTGCAATAAGTTATGCACAAGGCCTTCCTCTGGCATTAAAAGTAATAGGCTCCAAGTTGGCAAATGAAAATTTAGAGGAATGGAAGTCTATATTGGAACAATATGAAAGAATCCCTGAAAGAACAATTCATGAGATTCTAAAGATGAGCTATGATTGCTTACAAGCGGGTGCTAAGCGTATTTTCCTAGATATTGCTTGTTTTATTAACAAGGAGATGATGAGATCTATTAATGAAATAGTAGAAGCTTGTGATTTTGGCGCTAGGTTTTATTTTGAACTTCTTGTCGATAAATCTCTGATAACTTCAGTTGCTGGTGAAGATTATTTTTTCATGCATGAGCTAATACGACAAATGGGAAGAGAAATCGTGAGACAAGAGGCACATTTAATCCTGAAAAACGCAGCAGACTATGGTATTATGAAGACGTTCTTAAAGTATTGCGTGAAAATTTAGTAAGAATCTAATCCATATCTGTCTCTTTATACAAAAATGTATACATCAGACTTATTGTTATATATATTTATATGGCAATATCTATTAATGATACTTCTCTTAATCTTCATGACAGGGATGCAATAATATTGAAGGAATAAGGCTTGATCCTCCTCAGCAAGAAAAAGTAAAGTGGAGTGGTATGGCTTTTGAGAAGATGAATAATCTTAGAATTCTTGTCGTTCGAAATATCCAATTTTCAACTGGCCCTACCTATCTTCCCAATAATTTAAGGTGGCTTGAATGGAAGGGATATCCTTTTGCAGCTTTGCCAAAAGATTTTTCTCCTTCAGAACTAATTTTCTTGAAGTTACCTGAAAGTTCTTTTAGACTAAAAGAAGCACTGAATGTATTTTTCAAATAATTCTTTGTAGTTTTTCTTCAGTCCAATTTATTTCTCTTTTTCTTGTTGGCCTGCCATACTTCTTTAGCTGTAAATTTTCATCTTAGAATAATCATGCTCCGTTATGATTCTGATTTAAATAAGTCTAACACAGTTGTTGTAAAATTGAATAGTCTATATTGTTTTAGAGTTATCTCATATATATGTTTCAAAAACCTACAAATGTCTTTTATATTTTGAAAGCAGATGCTTTAATATATTTGTGAATAATAATTATAAAACACATTCCACCATATTCTGTGAATAATTACCAATTAATTCAGTATGGTTTTTGAAACAATGCTGTCTAGAAAATGTATCAAGTGAAACAAATTTCTAACGCTCACTATAAAAATTTCAAGGTGTACGTAGTGGTCTGAAAACATTTAGACCGTTGAAAAAATTTGCGTCTATTAAAATAAATATTATGAAAATTTACAATAAAATTTGAACTATCTGACATTAAACTAGATGATCCATAGGGATTTGCATAGTTTTAGGAATTGGACAATCTAATTGAATAGTATTGTATTTGTTTTGCAGATTTTGACTAGCTATGTGACATATTTGGATTTTTCATTTTGTCAATTCATAACTGAAGTACCTGATATGGCTCAATATCAATGTTTACGAATATTGGATTTGCAACGCTGTCACAATCTGATAAAAATCCATGATTCATTGGGATCCCTCTCTAAGCTGATCGAATTAAATGTTAGTGAATGCACCAAACTTTCCATTTTTCCACGTGAAATCAAGATGGCATCACTTGAATGGCTTAGTTTTAGCGGATGCAGGAGTCTTGAGTACTTCCCACATGTGGCGGGAAAGATGGATGCACTAGACTACATTTCAATAGATGGCACTGCTATTAAGGAGCTCCCACCTTCAATTGAAAATCTTTCGGGGCTTCGATGGTTATACGCGCGCTCCTGCAGTAGTCTTAGAGAACTTCCAACCAGCTTATTCATGTTGCCAAATCTTGAGGAGCTTGATTACGGAGAGGTTCATCCGCGTAACAGAAAATCTTGGATGAAGTTAAAGCAAGATAGCCAACCAATTACCAGCAACTGTTCTATGAAGAGTTTGTCTCTCAAGAATTGTGGTCTATTGGATGAAGAACTTCACCTAATTCTGAATTGTTTTCGAAATTTACGAGAGATATATGTATCATTGAATGACTTTGTGTCTCTCCCTAAGTGCATTAAAGATTGTGCCGAACTGCGGCTAGCTGTGAGTGAATGCAGGAGGCTAAGAGACATGCCAGAGTTGCCATCAAAGCTGCATGAGATAGATGCAACGAATTGCACATCATTAACCGCAGAATCATTGGACAACTTATATTCTCAGGTTTTTCTCGTTCTTTTGGATCTATTCTCTCTTTCTTTTGCCATTTCAAATGTTCATATAATCAAATTCAGTCAGTCTCACCAGCCAAACAATTTGCCTGTGCAAGATAACAATCCATAAAACTATGGGTGAACTTTAAATGTATTGAAGTGATGAATTTCTTGAGAAAATTCTAGCATTCTCTAATATTTAAATGGTCTGTCTCCTGTTTTGGTAAATCAGGCAAAAAAGGAGTTGCTTGACCTGCGAATCCATGTGCCAGTAACAACATTTCCTGATTGGTTCAACTATTGCGGTGAAGGAGGCACGTTGTCTTTTCGCGTTCGTGGGAATTTACCTCGTGGTATTCTTGCATTTGAGGTCGCAGGGAAAGCAAGCATGAGTAAGGACCAGATCTTCCCATTTGTTATGGGTATTAATGGTCTCCAAGTAATGAAACATGATTTTGATGCCTTGAAAAAAGACTGTCTTGAAGAATGGCATATTCACGCTCGACAGGGTAATTTGTTATTGTTTGACAACTTTAAGAAATCTACGAAAGAAGACCAAAAGTTTCTCAACAAGTATATGGGGTTGGATTGGAAAGACGTGGAAATACAAGTTATGAGTGACTCCATAGTTAAGTGGGGAGTTTATGCCTAAAAGGAAACAAACATGGAGAATGTGCAGTTCAAGTCTTCTCATGCTTCAACAGCATCACTGAATCAAAGAGCGACGACTTCCCCTCCTAAATATGAACCACCCAAGCAGCTCCTCAGAACTGATAAATGAAAACTCAGTAACAAAAAGAAAGGGTCAAGGTGAGTCTCTTCTTTCTACGCACCAATTGTCTTTTCATGGATCGGATTCTCTCTCTCTGTTTCTCTCTCTCTCTCTCTCTCTCTCTCTCTGTTTTTTTTTAAAAATTAATGTCGCTTTCCCTTTCATGTATTGCAGGACAATTAAATAACAGCAAACTGCTCGTTCGTGCTACAGGTGAAAGATGGTTTTTCCAAGTAGTAATCTTGTTTGGTGATCTTTGCATCATTAGCTATCAAATACTTGAGAGTCACTACTTGTTAGTTACATGTGGTACTGAATACAAATGAAAATAATAAAGAATTTATGAATGCTCCTTCCGGTTTTATGTAGAGGGCGTCTTCTAAAAGATGCTTTTGATCCTTTTACTAATTTTTTTTTTCACATTTGCTCATATTTAATAAGTGTAGTAAGAGAGTAGAAATTTATATGATGTTGAAGTTTAGTGTAGTTTATATGTATGATATTGAAAATTATTAAAATATTATAACAAGATTAATGCTTTTAAGTGTTTTTTTAAATGTATAATCAATTAAAAATGACTTATAATAGGCCGGCACTCTAGGGAATATATGAATAAATAGAATATTCTTTATGGTGACGCCTTAATTACCTTCGAGGTTAGATATAGTTTCTTGTTTCACCATGGAAGTTACTGTAATAGTGTTGGCCACAATCTCACTGATTAATTCTGGGGGCCTATAAAATTGCGATCCCACGAAACAAGTCGTGTTACGTTGATCATTTTCTAATCCAACCACTGCCACAAAGACTGTCATCATCACGAGTCCCTTCTTTTGATCTTAATCTTATCCAGCCCCCCAAAAATGATTTTGTATTTTTTTTTTTTGGCCAAGGCCTAAAAACTACGATTAACTAATTAAGTTGGCCAGAAAAATACATAATTTGATTGAGACATAACCGTTATTATTGTTGAAACCAGCCACTGCAGATAAAGACTAGCTATATATATATATAAATGTATTGAACTGATGAATTTCTTGAGAACATTGAGCATTCTCTAATATTTAAATGGTCTGTCTGCTGTTTTGATAAATCAGGCAAAAAAGGAGTTGCTTGACTTGAAAATCAATGTGCCAGTAACAAAATTTCCTGATTGGTTCAACTGTTGCTGTGAAGGAGACACGTCTTTTCGCGTTCGTGGGAATTTACCTCGTGGTATTGTTGCATTTGAGGTCGCAGGGAAACCGAACATGGGGAGGGAATAGGCCTCCTTCTAGTTTTGGTTCAGTGTCAATGGTGACCCATTAAGGATCGATGATTTTGATGCGTTTTGTAATAAAGATGCTCGACAAGGTAATCTGTTATTATATGACGGACTTGCGAGTTATGGAAGCAGAGCAAAAGCTTCTCAGAAAACCTGTTGTTAATAACGTTACAAAAATTGTTTCTGGCCGCCGGAATTTCAGCAACCTATTACTGAATTTTCTAAAAAACATGTTGTTAATAGTTATACTGAAATTATTAATAGCGTTACAAAAGTTGTTAATCGTTATACTCAAGTTGTAAAAATTTTTAAAAAAAATTATTTCCGACCACTGGAGTTCCAGTGACTAATTGTCGACCTGTTGCTGGAACTCCGGTGACCGGCAAGTCAGTGGAGGCTTTGATTTTTTTAAAAAAATAAATAAGATAAAGAGTAATATGGTCATTTAAAAAAGTTTATAGATGTCAAATTATTCATTAATGACTAAATTAGAATTTCTCAAATTCAGGAGATGTTTTTGGTATTATGAAATTTGTTATTTTTCTATCATTTTTCCATTAGTTTTCACCAAAAGAAAAAAGAATTCATCTACTAAGCCCAATAATAGAACAAGGCCCGCGAGTTTATTCCCCGCTAGGCAAACACTGCTCCCAACATTGATTTGTTTCATCACGTGAGGACTAGGATTTGTATTGATAATATTATTTTCAGTTATTAATATAAAAGCTATTTAAGACTTAAGAGATTAATTTTGTTTCAAAATTTAATATTTTAATTCTATTTTTTCATAAATTTATAATATTTATTTAAAATATTTTTATTGACTATGAGAGTTCATGTTAATAAATACTTACTTAGAATGCACGAAATTAAATATATTAGTTTAGAAAAATCAATATATATTTGTTATTATTAACCAATTTAATTAATTTTTTATCTCTTTAAATTAGTTAGCAATTTCTTATATTAATGAGAGAATGCAGTCTAAAAATAGGCAAATAAATAAAAATAAATTAAATTAACTAACAAATGAATTATTTAAAAAAAAAATTCCGTTCTGTATATGTATTTTAGTTATTCAGTTTTATTTCTGACTTTCTCCTTACTTGCACCGCTTTTTGCCCGAAGAATATTCTTGTATACGGCTCACACACGCATGCGATAACCCCCGCCGTGTACCAAGTATGTGCTGGGAGTTGGAGGCGCTGTGTGGATTGCGAAGGTGCAGAGAAAGTCGTACCGAAGGGCACCTTCCATGAAATTTTGGTCTGGTAACGCCTTTACCAATGTTGCGCTCAGAACTCAGGGGCAGCGAAGGTCATATGTGCTAGATGTTTTGAGCGGATCACATTCCTCCAAATCCAATACCTCTATCTCTTTAGTTATGATCACTCCAAATCAAGAGCCATCATCATCTACTGGATCGTCCTCCAGCGAATCAACTTCCAATCATTACGATGTTTTCCTGAATTCCACAAGCGAATCAACATTCACTACCACTCTCTGCGATGCTTTGCGAAAGAAGGGAATCGAGAAAATCTTCGTCGGTCCCAATAAACTGAGGGAAAAGAAAAGAAAGAGGGAAAGCAAACAAGTTTTTGCATCACCTGATCCTCTTAGCGCGATTGAAAAATCAAAGGTTTCTATTCTTGTGTTCTCTGGGGATTATGCTTCTTCTGCTGAGTGCCTTGATGAGCTCGTCAAGATTATGAAGTGCAGGAGGAAAAAGAAGCTAGTGGTTTTTCCGATCTTCTACCAAATAGAACCGACGATTGTTCGGCATCAGAAAGGTAAGTATGAAGAAGCCATGGTTGCTCATCAACAGAGCTTCGGAGACGAACAGGTTCAGCAATGGAAGTCGGCGTTGAACGAAGCCGCCGGTTTGTCCGGATGGCATTTTGTTGAAGGGTAGGTACCGTTCTCCATTTTTTATGTGTTGAAAATATATTGATATTTGTATTTTTTTTTATTAAGATATGATAACAATAACTTTTTTAATAATAAATTAGCTTATGGTTTAATTAAAAAATTATAGAATTACTTAAAATAATTATCTTATTAATATTAATCATATGTCATGAGATGATTTAATGTATGGAGTTCTTTTCCCCCAGTTGAATTTTCTGCATATTATCTTTGGCGAGGAATATTGCGATAAAATGAAGAGTAATTTAATTTCATAATTCTAATAAAAATCGAGTAAATTGTTGTTATGATTCTTAAAGATGTGTATCGTGTCAATTAAACTTTTTCAAATTTGAATGTTTGATTTTAATTTTCCAAGAATATTGCGTATTCAATTTAACATTAGACCACATTAGCATTTTTGCTAATGAGTCATGACTTGAAGGGTGAAGATATGGAAGATTAAATATTATATAGAGGACTAATATAAGATGATTAAACTTTAGAAAACCAAATTAAGATATTGTGTTAGAGAATCAACTCGTTTAAATGAGTAAATTAGCTGAATCTGTTGTATGAATTATGAAGACTAAGGTATAATTGTGAGTACGCTGAAGCTCTTGTGTGTTTACCAGCTATTAATATGACTCGCTGACTACAAACTAAGCTTTATATTTTTAACTCTCAGCTTTTGTTTTCATCTTTGCTAACTACATTTTATTTTATATATTATTTTGATGAATACTGAAAAGGAAATGACTTAATTTACCCTTTAAACTTCATGGTGATAAAGAAGTGTTAATGCGTTCATGTGTAGATCTGAACATGATTTTGCTAAGATTGTTGAAGAGGCATTTTCCAAGTTGCCGCCTAAACGATTACATATTGGGGAGCACATAGTTGGACTCGACGCTTGCATAAAAGATGTCACTTCACTTCTTGATGCCGTGTCTATTTTAGGAATTCATGGAACTGAAGGAGTTGGCAAAACTACACTTGCTAAAGCTGCATATAATTTAGTTGTCCACCAATTTGAAGAGGCTTGTTTTCTTACTGACATAAGAACAGCTCCTAAAGGAAGCAAAGGCGTGGTACGTCTTCAAAAGACGCTTCTATCAGAGATTCTTGATGAGAAGAAAAAGATCAAGTTAAGAAGTGTTGAAGAAGGGATCTCTAAGATAAAGCAGAGGCTATGCCATAGAAGGGTTCTTCTTGTTCTTGATGACATAGATGAGATGGAACAATTAGAACAACTTGCGGGAGGTCGTGATTGGTGTGGAAATGGCAGTAAAGTGATCGTGACAACAAGAAATAAGCAATTACTGATTGATGGTCATATTGATGAATATGGAATGAAGGAGCTAAATAACAATGACTCCCTTGAGCTTTTCTCTCGATATGCCTTCCACTTGGACAAACCCCCAGCGGATTATGAAGAAATCTCCAACCATCTGGTGAGTTATGCACAAGGCCTTCCTTTGGCTTTGAAAGCTATGGGCTCTAAATTGAAAAATAAAAGCATGGAGGCATGGAAATGTGCATTGGATCAATTGGAGAAACTTCCAGAAAGGAAGGTTGAAGATGTTCTCAAAATAATGGGAAAGTAGGATGCTGGAGAACAGCTAATGGTTGTTCTTCTTTTGTCCACGGAATTTCTATGAAGAATGCTACTCTCGAGTCCACAGTTAAGGATTCATTTCTTTTTCACCCTGCTTGAATGTTTCTGAAGTGTCAGTTTTGTCAGCGATACAACATTTCATCCGTGATTTATATTTACTTAATATACAGATTTTTCTCCAGAACTTATTTAATAAAACAACTACCTCAAATTTTGATTGTTTTGTTCGGTTGCTTAGTCAAAAAGGATAGGAGTAGCGCTTTTCTCGCTTTGAATCACTTTGTATTGATGGGGAAAAGCCCATCTGCCTGTGACTTCATTGAAGACTCATTAGAATCATGGGGCTGGCCCCAAAGACTTCATGGACTTGGAAATGCCAGGCTACCTTGATGCTTCAATGGCAAATCCTTAAGTTTCCAGGGACAATATGCATGTGAAACGACTTCTTGGATCCAGGGAAAGGAGAAAAGTGGCCATTAAGACAAGTTTGTAAAGGCTTTCGGGGGGGGTGGATGCAGTGCAACAACTATATAGCGAGGCCTTTGGGTAGCTACAAATGAATTGTGCAATTAAATGGCATATGAAGTGAAGCTGACTTGGATGCTGAAAAGATCGCTTTTATACTGAGATAGCAATGATGAAGGCCTTATGGGGCATGAAAGGCAAGCTAGCTGGTACAGGTTGGTGTTTGTATTCCTTTCCTTAATAGATATTTTGAAAGGGCTTATTGAACTGATTTTGTTATTGAACAGATATGTAATGTATATGTGAAACAATCACATATATGTTTTGCTGATGTATATTGAACAAGTCATATCAATAGTCGATGTGTGTATATTTGCACTCTCTCGTGTTCTGGTTTTTTGGAGTAAATTTACGGGGCAGAAGCGTAGTAAAACTAGCTTTTTTGTTTGTTGGATGAGAGTTTTGTAGAGACTCTGTTTTGTACATGTATAGACCTCATGGTAATGATACCACACAGGACAGCTGTTTTATTGCACCTCCTGATATGATTTTGCTGCGTTTGGGAAAGTATATGGCTATATGCCTCTGGATATCTCTCTGACATAAAAAATGCATCACAACGACTATCACTTGTTCTCTATGTTGCTGAGTTTCAATTTACTGGTGTTTTTGATATTTAAGTATTACCTTGAGATTTTAATTATATGGTACTTGTTGCATTTGAGAGATGAGTTGCTTGAAAATGCCAGGCAATTTACCTTTGACACATTGCAGAATATATATACTGACAGATTGACATGGCTCATTTATTTCTGATATCTAACTTTGTGACTCCCTCATTTGATAGTTGATACTCTTTTGAAGGTCTAATTCATACTCATTTATATGTAGGAACGCAGTTGAGTTACATGCTTTTGCTTCAAGCTTTACTCTTCAAGCTTCCGAGGTTGAATTTGAGTTACAAGGAGGGTGAAAGATGGATTGTGGCATTGTGCATGTCATCCGTAGATCAAAGCTTGATGCAAAACTAAGGCAGCTTTTAAAGATTTGGTTTGGCAGATGGGTTGCATTATTATGATGAGTGAGAAAATTCTACTTGAGCTCATTATAATCAATCATTTCACAATCAGTGTGTATGTATAATTAAATATCAGAATCAGCAACAACAAAAAAATGCTCAGGCATTGTTGTTTTTGGGAGCTTTGATGATAATAGAGCCCCGTTTAAATGACAAAAGCCAATTCTGTGACTCTTGTTTCTGCAGCCTATGTATATAAGCTTATTCTCCGGACCATGACAATACATAACTATGGTTCACTAAATTAGTTTTTTTTTTTTTTTTTACCACAATGTCTCCCCAATATAGGATCTTGTCACCTAATTCATAAAAATTACAAAAAATAAATAAATTAGTTATTTGTAATTAATACGTTAAAAATTTGTGTGGTATTTTTTCCGAATTATTGTGACATTTAATTAACTATGTCTATCAGTTTCCATTGAGTAAAATATAAGTATTAAATAAATGTATTTTAGAAAAAAAAAGATATTTAAGGTAATATATTAAAGTGGATGACACGTCAGGGACCAAAATAAAGCTTTTAAGAGGATGTTTAACACCAATGAATGTATTTTCAGTTCTTTATCAAGCTACTGGATCGGGGATTTTTTTTTTTGGCCAAAACTGGATCGGGGATTGGATATACTTCATGTGAACTCTTGCACCCAAGGTATCTTGACGGTGGGAAGATATTTGCACATTACTCTTTCTAGTTCCGATTTTAAGGCATCTTTTTTTTTTTTAAATAAATATTAGGGGAAATGACAAGTAAAGACCCTTGAATTAGCAAAATCACAAGGAGGTCACCTGAATAAGCTAAATTACCAAGAAGGACCCGGTCTCAAATTGTAATTATGAAATTAGGCTAAAAAGACAAAAATACCCTTCTTCTCTTTCTTCCATCACCCCATCTCTTTCTCTTTCCCTCTTCTCTTTCTCTTCGTCTCCGTCCTTCTCTCCCTCTTCATCTCCCTCTCTCTCTTCTTCCTTTTGCTCCTCTCCCTCTCAAAAATATTCATCTCCTGCCTATGCATTTATTAATATGATTAAGGTTGTGGCCATTCCCATCAATCTCTATTACAAAAAAGATGGTGACCCATCGTTAATGCTAGTTGGCAGAGGTAATCAGATTGGAGTTGATAGCAATAGTGTTCTGGAGATGGTATACAGAATCAATGTTGGAGAGGATGAGAGTCAAGCTACCCAAGACACTACATGTATATATATTTCATGATTGGCACAGCATCATCTTGGTGGGTTGCGGTGTGGTCACTGGGTTATACGGTGGAAGAGAATGAAACGTGAAGTTAATGATGGAAAATGTTAGTTGGAGGATGTTGTAGTTAGTTTGAGATACACTTGTCACCGAATCTTGCAGAAATTAGTTGCTGTCAAAACACCTCTGGTTTTTTGTTATTTGACTTACTATTGTTGTAATTTTACTTAGTAGTGTTGTAACTATAGATTGGTTATTTTGATCACAGTAACATGATATGACAATCTGAAAATGTTAGTATTTTGTTTATGGGCAGAGCAATGTTAACATTTAGTATTTATAGTTGGTAATGGTATCAATGTAGATCCATTTAATATTCTGAATTCATGACAAATCTCCTCACAGACTTATAATTTCACTCATCACAGTTGTTATTTGGCTTTCCACTCTTGTCAATTGATTTTCATAACTTGTCATTCACCTTAATCAACTTGTCATAAATTACTTATCAGAACTGGTCATCTGCTAAAGAAATCTGAAAATTCTATCATTTGAAAAGAGAAAATTAAATTTTTATGAATTGCTTATCAGAAGTTGTCATTCGCCTTACTAAACTTGTCATTCGTCTTACTAAACTTGTCATAAATTGTTTATCAAAATTTGTCATATGCTAAATAAAACTAAAATTGTCATTTGCCAAGGAATTGTGCAAATTGTCATTTTAATCCAGAATCTTAAATTCCTATGAGTTGCTTATCAGAAGTTGTCATACACCAGTTTCTACAAAATTCAGAAACTGGTTGCTGTCAAAACACCTTTGGTTTTTTGTTATTTGACTAACTATTGTTGTAATTTTACTTAGTAGTGTTGTAACTACATATTGGTTAGTTTAATCACAGCAGCATGGCATGACAATATAAAAATGTTGGTATTTTGTTTATGGCAGAGCAATGTTAACATTTAGTATTTATAGTTGTAAATGATATCAATGTAGATCCATTCAATGACAAGTTGACTAAGACGAATGACAAGTTTAGTAAGGCGAATGACAACTTCTGATAAGCAATTCATAAAAATTTAATTTTCTCTTTTCAAATGACAGAATTTTCATATTTCTTTAGCAGATGACCAGTTCTGATAAGTAATTTATGACAAGTTGATTAAGGCGAATGACAAGTTATGAAAATCAATTGACAAGAGTGGAAAGCCAAATAACAACTGTGATAAGTGAAATTATAAGTCTGTGAGGAGATTTGTCATGAATTCAGAATATTAAATGGATCTACATTGATACCATTACCAACTATAAATACTAAATGTTAACATTGCTCTGCCCATAAACAAAATACTAACATTTTTAGATTGTCATATCATGTTGCTGTGATCAAACTAACCAATCTGTAGTTACAACACTACTAAGTAAAATTACAACAATAGTAAGTCAAATAACAAAAAACTAGAGGTGTTTTGACAGCAACCAGTTTCTGCAAAATTCGGTGACAAGTGTATCTCAAACTAACTACAACATCCTCCAACTAACATTTTCCATCATTAACTTCACGTTTCATTCTCTTCCACCGTATAACCCAGTGACCACACCGCAACCCACCAAGATGATGCTGTGCCAATCATGAAATATATATACATGTAGTGTCTTGAGTAGCTTGACTCTCATCCTCTCCAACATTGATTATGTATACCATCTCCAGAACACTATTGCTATCAACTCCAATCTGATTACCTCTGCCAACTAGCATTAACGATGGGTCACCATCTTTTTTGTAATAGAGATTGATGGGAATGGCCACAACCTTATTCATATTGATAAATGCATAGGCGGGAGATGAATATTTTTGAGAGGGAGAGGAGCAGAAGGAAGAAGAGAGAGAGGGAGATGAAGAGGGAGAGAAGGACAGAGACGAAGAGAAAGAGAAGAGGGAAAGAGAAAGAGATGGGGTGATGGAAGAAAGAGAAGAAGGGTATTTTTGTCTTTTTAGCCTGATTTCATAATTACAATTTGAGACCGAGTCCTTCTTGGTAATTTAGCTTATTCAGGTGACCTCCTTGTGATTTTGCTAATTCAAAAGTCTTTATTTGTCATTTCCCCTAAATATTATGAGGCATCTTGTAAAAGTAATTTTTTGTTTCAAATATAAGTCAATAACAGTCTCATTGATTATTTTTTTTCTCATTCAACGGTTGTTATTAATTGAGGGTTAAAATAAGAAAAATTTAGTCACATCCTTTAAAGAGGGCAAAGTTTGAAAAATTCATCAACTTACAACGAAATTAAGGACTTAACTGATAATTTGGTTAAAATTAGTTAGAAGCACCATATAGTAGTATTAAGGAGCAAAAGGGGGTAACTCTGTGGAAAACGAAAAACTAAACTATCGTTCTTATAAACAATATATGTTATGATGTTATATTATTCCTTTTTTCTTTTTGCCAACATATAATACTACCTCCGGTCTTAATTATAAGAGTCAGTTGACTAATTTAAGGAGATTAAGGAAGTAAGTTGAGTTAGTTATTTGTCCTAAATAGGTGTTGTCTTTCCTAAAATATCCTTACTAATCAAGTATATTAACTAGAACTATAATTATTAGAAGGATTATCTTGAAAAAAATTGAGTAAATATGAAAAACAAAGTGGATTGGGATCTTATATTTAGGGTCAAAATAAAAATTAAATAGAGTCTTATATTAACGGCAAGAGGTAGTATTATATTAATGGGGAAATCACAAATAAAGACCCTCGAATTAGCAAAATCACTCTATAGTCACCTGAATATGCCAAATTACCATGAGGGACCCGGTCTCAAATTGTAATTATGAAATCAGGCTAAAAAGACAAAAGTGCCCTTATTCTCTTTCTTCCATCACCCCATCTCTTTCTCTTTCCTTCTTTTCTTTCCCTTTGTCTTCGTCATTCTCTCCCTCTTCATCTCCCTCCCTCTCTTCTTCCTTCTATTCCTCTCCCTCTCAAAAACATTCATCTCCTACCTATGCATTCATCAATATGATTAAGGTTGTAGCCATTCCCACCAATCTTTATTACAAAAAAAAATGGTGACCCATCATTAATGCTAGTTGATGACTTTCGACTTTCATTTCTAGAGATGTTTTTGATATAGTGTTGTTCGATTGTCGAGAATACTGTCTTCTTTTTGTTTACTTGTACGTGGGAATCGATAATTTCCTCATTTGATTAGAGTTTCTGGTTGCTGTCAAAACACCTATGGTTTTTTGTCATTTGACTTATTATTGTTATAATTTTACTTAATAGTGTTGTAACCACAGATTGGTTAGTTTGATCACAGCAACATGATATGACAATCTAAAAATGTTAGTATTTTGTTTATGGGCAGAGCAATGTTAACATTTAGTATTTATAGTTGGTAATGGTATCAATGTAGATCCATTTAATATTCTGAATTCATGACAAATCTCCTCACAGACTTATAATTTCACTTACCACAGTTGTTATTTGGCTTTCCACTCTTGTCAATTGATTTTCACAACTTGTCATCCGCCTTATTTAACTTGTCATAAATTACATATCAGAACTTGTTATCTGCTAAAGAAATATGAAAATTCTGTCATTTGAAAAGAGAAAATTAAATTTTTATGAATTGCTTATCATAAGTTGTCATTTTTCTTACTAAATTTGTCATTCGTCTTGCTAAACTTGTCATTTGCAAAGGATGTTTAGTAAGGTATATGACAACTTCTGATAAGCAACTCATAGGAATTTAAGATTCTACGTTAATATATGACAACTTCTGATAAGCAACTCATAGGAATTTAAGATTCTACGTTAAAATGACAATTTGTACAATTCCTTTGCAAATAACAAGTTTAGTAAGACAAATGACAACTTCTGATAAGCATTTCATATGAATTTAATTTTCTCTTTTTAAGTGACAATTTCTAGATTTATTTAGCAGATGACAAGTTCTGATAAGCAATTTATGACAAGTTTAGTTAGGCAAATAACAATTTTAGTAAGGTAAATGACAACTTCTAATAAGCATTTTATACAAATTTAATTTTTTTGTTCAAATGATAGAATTTTTAGATTTCTTTAGTAGATGACAAGTTCAGTAAGGCAAATGATAGAATTTTTGTGTTTCTGTCGTTGTATTTCTGTCACCACGTTTCTAATTAAGTGGACAACATTAAATAGCTCTACATTGTTACAATATAGAAATGATTAACAAAAAATGTTAACATTTCTCTGTACAATATAAAAAGACTATAATTATCAGATTGTCATGTGTTTCTATCATTGCATTGTTGTCATAATAGTTAAAAGTCTGCATTAACAACACTAGCATGCAAAATTACAACAATAGTGATCATTACATTCCCTCCAATATATTTAACTTCTCCTTCATCACTTGCTTCAAAATGTCCACCAATGTGGATGTAATGTAACAAATTCTGTTTCTATTACTGCATTTCTATCATCACAACAATGGTGATCGTTACATTCCCTTCAACACGTTTACTTCCAGATTTCTTTGGCGAGTGACAAGTTGAGTAAGACGAATGACAAGTTTAGTAAGACGAATGACAACTTCTGATAAGCAATTCATAAAAAATTAATTTTCTCTTTTCCAATAACAACATTTTCAGATTTCTTTAGCAGATGATAAGTTCTGATATGTAATTTATGACAAGTTGAGTAAGGCGAATAACAAGTTATGAAAATCAATTGACAAGAGTAGAAAGCCAAATAAAAACTGTGGTGAGTAAAATTATAAGTCAATGAGGAGGTCTGTCATGAATTTCAGAACATTAAATGGATCTACATTGATACCATTTACAACTATAAATACTAAATGTTAACATTGCTCTGCCCATAAACAAAATACTGACATTTTCAGATTGTCACGCCATGTTATTGTAATCAAACTAACCAATCTGTAGTTACAACACTACTAAGTAAAATTACAACAATAATAAGTCAAATAACAAAAAACCAAAGGTGTTTTGACAGCAACTAGCAACTCTAAATCAAATGAGAAGATTATCGATTCCCAGATACAAGTAAACAAAAAGAAGACAGTATTCAACTAGACCATCTTCAAAATCTTTAAAATATTCAAACCAGCGAACCCTGTAGCTTCTATCAACAGTTTAAAGAACTCAGCCTTCTTCTTCTTTGCTAACAGAGAAAACGATCCATAAGGTTGATAGCCATTGTTCAATAAAAAGGTCGTAATCACTCCTTGTTTCAGAATTGCAGAAAATCATCCCAAATCTTCCATTCCTCCGTCACCGACCACCTTCCTCTCTTCTCCCTGCTGATATCCTACGCAAGGAGTTCGAAAGCCCTCTTTGCCCCTCATGAGACCATTCGCCATGGAGGAGACCCAACAAAGATGCTGCTTCGACCCAAGGAAGAAAGAGAAAGAAGAAGAGAGGGAGAGGAAGTCCGAGGAGAAGAAGGAAAGAAGAGGTCTCTCACTAATGTCTGCCTTCGTTATTGAATCTGAGTAATTGAAGGGTATTTTAGTCTTTTAGGTGTGATTTGCTAATTGTAATTTGAGACCAGGTCCCTCATGGTAATTTGACTTATTCAGGTGACCATAGAGTGATTTTGCTAATTCGAGGGTCTTTATTTGTGATTTCCCCTATATTAATCCAATATAAAAAAGATAAAAAGAAAACGGTAATAACATCCCATCAATACCGCGTGTTACAGAATCTAGCTGGGCACTCCCCTGTACCAAACTGATTGCCAACCTCCAACGACGTGGATGTCTCTATCTTTGGAGATTACGCGGCTAAATCCAAACTCCAAAGAGGGAAGCACGTCAGGCACAGAGGGAACCCAAACCGTCGGAGAGAAGGCGCGCGCGGGAAATGTGGGCCCCGATAGATTGCATTTATCTATGTTCTGATTCAATGGTGCGACTCACAAAGTCTCTGTGTGATAGAAAATTTAGCAAAAGAAATAATTTAGAAAAAGAGTGTGAGAAAGAGGCAAAAGAGGAAAAAGTTGAGAACGCAAGATTGATTGAGATTCGCACTGCTTCTTCTTGTTGGGTCGGGGTGTAGCAGGTGGGGGTGGATCAAGGAGAGAGAACCAACCAGAGAGGGGAGAGAGAGAATCTGAATCCAAAAGAGAGAGAAAAATAACAAAGAAACGAAAGAACGAACTGTTTGTTTGAAAGAGAAGGAATTGTGCTTGCAAAAATAGAGAGAGAAAGTGCTCGCGGAGGAAGATGGTTGAAGAGAGAATCATCCTCTGGGATCATCCTGAGAAAAGGGCAGCAATACAAAAGAATTTTTTTATAAAAAAAAAGATATAATTTATAATATATATTTTCGCAAAAAATTTTGCTGCCTCTTTTCCTGGCAAAAGTCTTATTCTCCACAATTAACCCCCACCAATCCCCCCGCCCCTCCCACGCCCAGCTTGCAGTTCGTTTTCTTCCTCTGCGTCATGAAACATTGTTGAAGGCCATTCATTTTCCTGCTCACTCTTTCATTTTCTCCCTTCTGCAAGGTACATTCTCTCTCTCTTTCTGTGAATTGCTACTTTAGTGCATTTGGTTCTTTATTCCTTTTTTTTCCTCTCCTTTTTTAAATGCCTGAGAAGCAAGCTTGCTTGCATGTTAGGTTATTCCTCATTCATTATTTTTTTTTCCTTTCAGGGTTCAATCCAACCATTATTGCTGAGGATTATTGAAGGGAAGATACTGAGCTTGTTTATGGCTATGTTGAGCAAGAGGTTGTAGACGAGAGATTAAATTACAAAAAATGAGAGACCCTGATTCGATGTTCGGAACCCAGTGCTTTCATTCCATTGCTTTTCATCTTCATTTGTCAGCTAGCGAAAGTTTTTCTGCGTGTTGCGAAGCTGAGTATATTGAAGATTAAGGGTTTGTTTTTCTGCACAGAAAACATAAAACCTGGCAATTTTTGTATTTTAATCACTCTGGCATTGGCTTCATAAAGCAATGGGGGTTGGATGGAACCAGTTTGGATTATGGTTCAAAATATATATTGCCTTGATTTCTTTGTGGGAAATTCGAGTGTGTTGGTCGCTGAACAGCGAAGGTGATTCCAATAATTTTTCTTTCTTCTTCTTCTTCTTCTGTTTTGATGTGTAAGCCATTTCTTGTACCTAGATGAACAATCTCAATGAAAATGCAGGGTTAGCCTTGTTGGATTTTCGAGATAGAATAACATGTGATCCTTATGGAGCTTTGGTGAATTGGAATCCAAATGACGGTGACCCTTGCAAATGGTTGGGTGTTCATTGCATTGACAGTAAAGTTCAAATTCTGTAAGTTTCTCTTTACTTTTCCTCAGACACAGTCCGCCAAAGTACAACCACTACTTTACGGAAAGACAAATACTTATCCTGTCCAACACAATTCTTCTTTCAAGATTTATATAGCACTTACTAAATGCTTACAGGATATTTCTTCTTCTTATTTTTTGTAGAGACTTAAACTCCTTATCTTTGGAAGGGACATTGGCCCCAGAGCTTGGGAAGCTTAGTCACTTAAAATCTCTGTAAGTGTTGTTCAACATGTTTCTCTTTAGGTGTTCTTCAACAAAATAATGTTCGGATGAAAGTTAGAATGCCATGTAAGATGGAGAATTGACATTTTCCGCTAGAATTAGTCTTTGTTGTACTAGTTTAGTTGTTCATCTGCTATCAAAACATATTACTATCATGCAGTTGTTTTATCCAATTACCTTTCTCCAATGACTTTATGGTAATCTTCCTTCACTTCTTCAAATTAGTGTGTTGTGTAAGAACAATTTCTCTGGAACCGTTCCCAAGGGACTTGGAGCTTTAGCCAAACTGGAGTTATTGGATTTGAGGAGCAATAACTTTACTGGAACTATTCCAGTGGAAGTTAGCAGCTTATCAGAACTGAAACACTTGTAAGTTAACTATATATTTAATTAGCATGCTTTGATAGATTTTTGGTTACTTAGAAGAAACTACCATTTTGCTGCAGGTTGCTTTGCGGCAATAAAATTGAAGTCAATGTTTGTCAGGATGTTGAAAAGTCCAATTTACCCTCTAAATGGTTATTTGTCGACAAGTGTACTTCATCTATAACATCTGTTTTTGTGGCTTGCATAGAAAATTTGGAAATGGGTAAGCATAGCTCTCATATTTCTTATAATTAACTAATTTTTATTTCCATCTTGTTTTTCTTTTGCCACTTAAATCTTGAGAGTATGACAAATTTTCTCTCTGCAAATATTGTTGTTTTGTAAATTGGAATGTCACATAAATTCTTGATGGTGTTAGCTCTATCCTGTATTCTGATAACATCTTCCCACTGGCATAAAATGCCCACTGTTTAACTTGAAAAAGTAGGGTGCCTTTATTTAGTTGTCATAGATCAGTCATGCAGAATATATGAACGATGAAGAATATTGGTGCTTTCTATAATCACGTCCTTAATTAATTAGAACCTATGTCTTATAGGTTAGTTCAGATATTCAGTTTATGTATAATTATGAACTCTGTTTTTCTAACTTTAAATGCATGGCATGAACAGTGTATGGCAGAGAAATTTTATACTGTTAAACAAGGCTGTTTCTAGAGTTATTCAAATTAAAGGAGAACTTGTGAAATACTTCAATGCTTTGGTGCTGCCACTGTGCGTAGATAACTTCTGCCTCATCTTATTTTCACTATGTTGGCATATATATTACGCCTTTTATTATGTTCTGATGACTGAATATGTTTGCTTCTTTGAAGGTTGAAGCTGGATAAAGCTCTTGATCTTTGTCAAGTGAATTTCTATCACAATCAACATGGTCAGTGAATATTGTTCTATGAATTTTGACCTGTTAGCCATTGCAATATTTATGACCAATGAACATGCCTTGATTCATGTAGATTTTCATGAGCCTGTGGTTGCCCAAACTATAACAACCCTCATCAATTCCGTACGTCGCAGGTTACTTGATCAATCTAGTAACCTCGCAGCTGCAGCTGCACCTGTCAGTGTTGGTCCTACCAAACCAATTGTTTCTCTTCCAGCAACCTTGAGTAGTGGAGCTTTCCCGGCTGTGCCACATGCCAAGCAACAAAATCTATCTCCTGCACCGCCTCCAACTGCTAATTCCCCACCTAATACACCAAATCAAGACCAAACTTCTACTTGGAAACAAGAGCATTCAACTAAAGGCACTTCTGGAAATTTGTGGCTTTATATAATTATTATCATTTCATTTGTGGTTGTGTTGGTCATTATTGCTGTGACTATATTCTGTTTGTGGCGAGCGCGAGCAGCCAAAACAATAAGCCCTTGGAAAACAGGGATAAGTGGACAATTACAAAAGGCGTTTGTAACAGGTAATATTTTAATAAGTGGATGCAAACTACAATTTCTTGCTGCCAAATGATGTTGTTTCAGTTATGAAATTAAATTGTTATAGAATTGACCAAAAAGTTAAAATCACTACATTCCTAAACTACTTCTCTGTGTGCAGACTAACCCTTTTAATTTGTGCTTTCTTCATCTTTCTTATTTAAACGGTAGCATTTTTAGGAAGAATTGCTTTCCTTTTTTTGGTAATCATGCAGAGAGGAAATTGACTTATTCTAGTGCTGTTTGAAGTGTTCAGTATAAAAAATTAATTAAGCCTGTGCTTTCATCACTCTTTAATTTGCTTATTGATGTCTTGTAATTGATGTTAAATGTAGGGGTTCCCAAACTGAATCGACCAGAGCTGGAGACAGCCTGTGAGGATTTCAGCAATATTATTGATAATTTTGATTATTACGCCATATACAAAGGAACACTGTCGAGTGGAGTTGAGATTGCTGTTGTTTCTACTAATGTCACTTCTTCTAAAGAATGGTCAAAGAATGCAGAGATGTTCTACAGGAAAACGGTTGGTTGCTTTTAAAGCTTACGAGAACGCCCAAAAAAAAAAAACTGAAAATTCTGATATAACTGAATGGAGAACCACTCATTATCAAACTCTTTTAACTAATTATTATTTTTTTTTTTCCTAAAAACCTTCAGATTAGTACATTGTCTCGTGTGAATCATAAGAACTTCATAAATCTTATTGGTTTCTGTGAGGAAGAAGAACCATTCACAAGGATGATGATTTTTGAGTATGCTCCTAATGGTTCCTTGTTTGAGCATCTCCATGGTAATCTCTTTAGTTGTTACTGTGCATAGAACAAATCTGAGTAAATTATATGTTCTCACAACTGAAAATCTTAATTATATATATATATTTTTTTCAGTTAAGGAAGATGAATATCTTGATTGGAGTGCAAGGACGAGGATTGTTATGGGAATTGCTTATTGTTTGCAGTACATGCACCATGATCTAAATCCACCAGTATCTCATTCCGATCTTAGTTCATCTTCCATTTATTTAACAGATGACTTTGCTGCCAAGGTATTAACCATTTCTGCTTTTATAATCAAAGATTCTAATGAAAATATAAGTTGTGTACAAATATTTTCTTATCATTACCATATTAATTCCTTTGAGTTGACAGTGAACATTGCTTAATTCTTTTCTTATTTTCTATCATAATATTGAGTAACAGATTTTCATTTTCATAATCAGATAGCATATATGAGTTTTGACAACCCATCCATACTAGAAGAAAAAGGATCTAGCCATTCTCAGTTGCCACCCAAAGCAAATCCTGAAACAAATGTTTATAATTTTGGAATGGTGTTGCTTGAAATAATTTCTGGAAAGCTCCCTTACTCTGAAGAACATGGTCATCTCACCGAATTGGCCGCCGATCACATCAAAAACAACAGAAGCATCAATTATATGATCGATCCTATTCTCCAATCATACGAAAAGGATCAACTTGATGTGATCTGTGAAGTAATACAAGATTGCATCCAAACAGATGCAAGGTTCAGACCTCCAATGAAGGATGTAGTTTCCAAATTGAGAGCAGTCATTAATATATCACCTGAACAAGCGGTTCCGAGACTTTCTCCTCTTTGGTGGGCTGAACTGGAAATATTGTCTCTTGAGGCCAATTAAGTTTGTGTATTCTATAACTCTCATACATTTTTTAAATTGTTTTCCTTCACAATGTTATATCAATGTATGAGCTTTGCAAAAATTTTTTGTTCTTTAATTATGTGTTCCTTTTTATTGTCAAAACACATTTAAGGAGCATCATCTTCCATCAGGAAGGTCGCTGCATATAACATTGTGCTGAAAATTTAAAAGCAAATTATCAGGTTTATCGACCTTTTTTAAATAAGTAATTTTTTAATATAATCTTTCAATGAATAGGCATCTCCTCATGGTTGTTTAAATACTACATCTATCATACTATATTTGTGAAATTGATAATTACCATATTTCATGACACGCATTTCGCACTTCATCACACCACATGCATTTCATAATTTTTTTTCTATAGAATCCAAGTGGAAGAAGTAAATTATGCCAATTGTTTTTTATGTTATTATATTTTTCTATCAAATTAGTTGGTGAAAATAAATTTGTTAAGGATGAAAACAAATAACTAAATACTTTTCCACGCAATGATGGACCAACAAATAGTGGGAATTTTGGGTCTAATATAAATATCAGGTTTTAATATTTTCTTTTTAGTAACAAAGAAATAATATATTCTTAAATCATGTAGCAAAAATTATAATTTAAATATGTATATGTTTTGTGTTTAAAAAAATAAATGGGGTAGGCATATTCTTTTGGGTGGGGAACAGATGAAACATCTTGAAGGGAGGCAAGTCAATTTATAAGGGGATTTATACAACTTTTTTAATAGATAATATTACTTTCGATCATAAATATAGATCTCATTTCTAATACAATTTAAAATACAAACTAAGTTAAATATTATATTTAAGATCAAATAATATATGATGATATTTGAGCAACTTGTATTATGCACAAGTCATGTACATGCTATCTATAGTTTTAAATTTGGAATAAAGTGCAATTTTAGCAACTAAGTTTATCACAAAAAACAATAGGCACCATAAAGCTTACTTGAGTGTAAAAATATGCATGAAGTTGTTAAAAGAGGGCATCTAGAACCACACGTTAGCTTTCATTGCTTTACCATTAGTGGGACCCATGAAATCAGTTTTTAGTGTGTTTTTAACAGAAAGTGTATGAGATACCGTAAAGTTTACTTGAGTAGAAAAATATGCATAAATTTTTTAAAGGGCAATTTTGTCAATTTTTTCATAATCGTTTATTAACTTTATTCTTTTAGATTCCACCAAATGCCATGTTTTTCCTCCACTCATTCCCACTTCCAAGTCCTTACATCTTTCTCTCATTACACTCAACACACACTCTCTTTGCCATGTCTTTTTATATGTATTTACCCATTTGTCAACATCAAGTCACTCTTTCTCTCTCTTAACTCTCTCTTGCTGTATGGCAAAGGGTAAGACAGATTTTATGGTTGACAAATGGGTAGATACATATAAAAGGCTTAGAAACTAAGAAAATGACATGGTAGTAAGGAGAAAGAGAGTGGGGGGGAAATGTGCCATATGGTGAGACCCAAAATAATAAAGTTAACCAATATTTTATAGGAGTTTATGAATTTTGTTATTTTACCCCTTTTAAAAGTTCATGTATATGTTTGTACCAAAATAAATTTTATGATGTCCAATACCTAATTGTTAGCTTTGTTATTACAAATGCACCCTAAAACTAAATTCGTCCATCCCTATTTTGACAACTTTCATATATACTTTCTGCACCAATCTACTTCATGGTGCCCTTAGAGTAAACTTGATTGCTAAAATTACATCTTAACCCTTTTAAATTTTGTGTGACGTTATCAAAGCGGTCAACCATAACTCATTTCATACGGAGATGTGTGAGATTTGGTGAAGAAACTAAAAATGGTGCCAAAAATATTGAAAATATTTTTTAGAGTCAATTTTTAGAAGGGAATCGCAAGCATAAGAAGATCATCATCTGCTCCTGAAGTCTCATTAAAATTTCGTCTAAATTTAGAAACCTATTCAACAATGATTTGTACAAAATAGTTGTTGCTTATTTTGGAAATAAACTTAAGAATTGAAATTGTGCTCTTCAATCTACTGTGATCTTTTTTTTGTATATAAATATGAGACTTTCTTTTTAAATATCTCTACTTCACAATATTGAATAGATAGTCGATGATGGCTGGTTTGGACATTCTACTTTTATGGATAGGAGTTCCTCAAAAATGAGAAATCTCAAGAAAAGTTGCTTAGGAAATTCCATTGCAAAAATAGATTCTAAAAATTGATCCTTTACAATAATTATATTTATATCATAATTATATGTTCAAAACTCTTAAAGATAATCTCAAACATGCCCTTTATACCCGGCTTCTCTCTGCTTTGAGTCCCTTACCGCCCGCCCGCTCCTTGAAACGACAGCGTTTTCCATGCGAATGAATTGTTGGTATTTGTTTTCTAGCCAATAAACATTGTGTTTTTTTTTTTCAGTAAAAATAAACATTGTGTTTAACTTGACAGTCTTGGTGACCCCCAGTGAGGTGGAGACGAGCCCAAAATTCATATAAATTGTCCCATTTAAATTATACTACCTCCGGCACTTAATATAAGATCATGTTTAATTTTATTTTGATCTCAAATATAAGACCCCAATTCACTTTATTTTTATATTTATATATATTTTTAAGATAGTCCTTCTAACAATGATAGTTCTAGCCAACACACTTAATTAGCAAGGATATTTTAGAAAAAAAATATTATTTATTACAAATAACTAACTTAACTTTTTTCTTAATATTCCTCAAATTAGTCAATTATTTCTTACAATTAGAGCAGAGGTAGTAAATTGTAAACGAAAAAAAATCTGGTCAGGAAAAAATAAAAAAAACTTAGTTGAAAATTTTATAAAATCAAACTGAAATTTTTAAAAAAAAATAATATTAATGTACAGATTGAATAACTTTTTTCATGATAATTTAATACGTATGTCCATTGGCCAATAATCGTTAAATAAGTTTTTTGTTCTCTCTCTTTTTCTTAAACTTTACAGGTGGCAAGGCAATAAAGAAATATTTGAAACTAAATAATGTCAGGATTTTTATTTTAAATTTGAAATTAGTAATGAGAGGAGGTATATTATTAATAATGAATGTCACTCTTGGTTCTCAATATAAGTCATTTAAAGGGAGAAGTTTTGATCGTAAATCTAAGTTATTTTTACTATATTTAATACTACCTCTGGTCCTTATTATAAGACCCGTTTGACTTTTTATTTGGTCCTAATTATAAGACCCCAATCCATTTTGTCTCTCATATTATACATTTTTTTTCAAGATAATCCTCCTAATAATAATAGTTCTAGCCAATATACTTATTTAGCAGGATATTTTAGGAATGACAACACTTTTTATTACAAATAACTAACTCAACTTACTTCCTTAATCTCTTCAAATAAGTCAATTGGGTCTTATAATTAGGAGGAGGTAGTCTTTTTTAAATTTTATCCTTATTAATTCTCATGAAAAGAGAGAAATAAGATAGAGATATGAAAATGATTGGTAAATATAGAGAGAGAAACTTTAATATGGGTAAAATTAAAAAAATTGTTAATTTAATCCATTCTTGTACCCTTCTAGTCCTATTTATAAACTTTAAATATGGGAAGAAGGATGGTCCATTTTATAAGTTTCAGTTTAAATTTATCTCACCATTTGATGCATTTTTTTAATGTTATCTTTAATTATTTCTCTCTCATCATGTTTTTAATACATTCTCTTTCATCTTTTTTCATTTATTATAAAAACATATTTAAAAACAAAACTATATTTTTAATTTATTTATTATTTTTAATTAATTTTAACTAATTATTTATTATTTTTAAATTAATTATTTAAAATTGATAATAAGAATTGGAAGCAGTATACGACAATCTGTTACAAGTGAGAGATAGAGTCTACTCTATTATTGGTAGTGTTAGCATAATATGCTAATTTTGTTGGTCAAAAGAATTATATTAAAATTATTATGAAAAAATTATTAATATGTGCATTAATATTAATTTTAAATAAAATTTTCAGTTTGATTTTATAAAATTTTCAACTAAGTTTTTTTATTTTTTCCTAACCATTTTTTTCACATTTACAATTTATATTCAAATTTCAAATGGGACAATTTATTGATATGCATGGATTTTGGGTTCGTCTCCAAATCGCAATAGGCTGCAAAGACCGCCGATTTAAGAACTGTGTGTTGGTGAGAAAACAAGAAACAAACATACTTGTCCGTTCTATCTCCCCTTTTTCGACCTTATTTGTCGTGTCTCTGTACTTCTTTTTGGAATACACATTTTTTTCCGACCTTATTTGTACTTCTTTTTCACTTTTTGAAATACAAAGAAAAGTATTCAATTGTATTAAGGCTTTGTTTGTCATTATGATTGAAAGTATTTATAAGCATGTTTTATGTAAATCGAGACAAAACTCATCTTATTTATTTATTTCGTATTCTATAAATTACCATTGAAAAACTACTTTATAAACTATTCTAAACGGATCCTAAAAATTCAATCGTCCATAAGCTACCCGTCTTTTTATTCTGTGTTACTTTTTATCGTGTCTTTCTAATTAACAATGACCCATGGTCTTTTCAGTACGATATTCTGTGTTACTTTGATGTATATATAACAATTGTTCTTAACGTTTTGGTTTGACATGCTAGCTGCAAATTCACTTTTATTTTTCAAATTTTACAAGTGAGATTTTTTTTTATCAATCAGCTTTTTAAATAATTAATTTTTCTGCATATGTAACATTGTGCAGAAAAATTAAAAATAAATTATTGGGATATTGCAACCGCCTTTTCAAAAATACACAGTTTTTTAATTTAATCTTTTAAAATGGGTACAAGCAATCTCAATTTTTTAAATATTATATCTGCAACACTGTATTTATAATATTGATATTGATAATTGTGTGTGTTAATATTGACAGAATACAAAGCATTTTATTCCATGAAATTCATTTAAGATCATTAGTTAGTGCTAAATTATTTGAACAAATGTTCTTATATTTAGGCCAAGTTTGGGAGAAGGGTGAAAAGAGTGGA